ATGGCTCAGTGGAATAAGTGCTTCCCTGGCAAGTGCAAGGGCCTGAGTTCAATCCCCGGTTCCACCAAAAAAAAAAAAAAAAAAAAAAAAAAAAAGAAAAAGAAAAAGAAAAAGAAACAGGCTGGGGATGTAACTCAGTGTAAAGGCACTGGGTCCAATTCCCAGTACTGAAGAAACAACTCTAAGAAACAAAAAAAGGCAGAAAAGTTCTTTGGAATAATTTTCCTTTTTACTGTTTACCCTCATGGATGATCTTTTCATGCCAGATTTGTTTCCATCACTGAGCTGTTTAAAGGAACTGATCTGGGGTTGGGGAGATGGCTCAGTAGAATAAGCGCTTCCCTGGCAAGCACAAGGGTCTGAGTTCAATCCCCGGTTCTGCCAAAAATAAAATAAAATAAAAAAATAAAATAAAGCCATTGTGCTTCTAAAGCTTCAAGTTCTCTATAAAGTTGAACGAGAAGAGAAGCCAGATTCTCCTGCACCACCACCAAGCGCAAGGGACCACAGGCACAACGTGATCTGCCGGAGTAGAGCACCTGGAGGAGGGAAGGGCTACAGAAATGAGCACACACGAGATTCTGAGTCAGAATGGGTCCTGAGTTTCACAACAAACTGGATAAGGGGCTTGGACAATGTGTAAACCATTATCTGAGTTGGGCATGGTGGCGCACACCTGTGATCCCAGCACTTGGGAGGCTGAGGCAGGAGGGTCACTGTGAGACTGAGGCCAGCCTGGGCTACCTAATGACACTCTGTCATTAAAAAAAAAAAAGGAAAAGGAAAGAAAAAGATGTTATCTGAGACATTTAGGTACTAAATTATGAATATCTTTTCTTTTTATCACAGTGGAAAATGTATAACTGACATTTTATTTATTTACTTTTTTGTCTAGTACTGGAGGCTGAACTCAGGGCCTTTGCATTAAACTGTATCTCCAGGCCTTTTTTATTTTGACACAGGATCACACTAAGTTGTGTAGTTGTGCAAGACTGGACTTCAGCCTCCCACAATGCTGGGATTAAAGACATGGGCCAAACACACATGGCTGATCTATCTATCTATCTATCTATCTATCTATCTATCTATCTATCTATTTATCTATCCTTTTCTTTCTTTTTTAGGACAGGGTCTACAGGGTCTCACTATGCAGGTTGGATTTGTAGTAATCCTCCTGTTTTCAGTCCTCCAAGCACTGGGATTACAGGCCCGTGCTACCATGCCCAGTCTCAATCATCCTTTCAGCAGATCCCCATGGCACGCTGGGGATTGAACCAGGAACCAGGTCCCTGTGTCTGCCTAAACAGGCATTTTAATCTGCTGAGCTATCTGGGTGGCCCTTCATTTCTTATTATTGTATTTTCTCTTTTTTTTTTTCTCTCTCTCTCTCTCTCTCTCTCTCTCTCTCTCTCTCTCTCTCTCTCTCTCTCTCTTTCTTTCTGGTATGTTGGGGATTAAACATAGGAACCTGTACATGCTAAGCAAGAACTGCACCACCCAACTGTGCCACTGAGCTGTATTTCCAGATTTTTAAATTTTTATTCTTTTAATTTTTTTTGAGACAGTCTCATTATGTTATTGGCCTTGAACTCATTATGTAGCCCAGACTGGCCTCCAACGCATGGTGATTCTCCTGCCTCAGCCTCTCCAGGGTTCAAATTACACATGTAAGCCGCTGGGATCACAGCTGTGCACCACCGCACCCAGTTCTTCGTTGCATTTTTGTAAAACAAAGCAAAACAAAATACTTTAAAAATTCATATTTTTAAACGTGAAATTGGGCAGGGAGATGGCTTGTTGGCATAAATACCTGCCTGGCAAGGGTGAGGTGCCGAGTTTGATCCCTGCCGTACCTCAAAAAAAAAAAAACAGTGAAAATCTATACTAAAGCTGGGGCTGTAGCTCAGGGGTAGAGGGCTGACTGTCACAGTCGCAGGCTCGGGGGTGAGAGTCCAAGTCCACCTGTATATCCCCTACCATGGCTGGGAGAGAAGACGTCATCGGCAGAATTGAGGCACAGCACTGGAATTCCAACCGAGTTCAGCCTGCGACTGGGGCTGGCGTCAGTGTAATAATCGTCGATTGTTCGGTAGCCAAACATGACGGAAGTGAAGCGCTTATCGAACTCTCTGATAGATTTAGCCTGAGAAATGAAAAGAAATTATATCTTTTCTTGGAATCAAAAGAGAAAAATAAAAGCATGAAAGTTTCTCTCCTACCTTCATGACATGGTCCATATCAATTTGTTTTACAAACATATGCCGGTGCCTGGAACAAAGAATTTCAGAACTAAAAATCAAGGTCATTCCTGCCTCAGTCACACCTAAAATGCACAATAAATAATTAAATAACCTAGCACAAGGTG